CCTGGTTACCACACAGTGAAATCAGTGTTATCTAACACAGATATCTGACAATGTTGGCTCCTGGTTACCACACAGTAAATTCATTGTTAACTAACACAGACATCTGACAATGTAGGCTCCTGGTTACCATACAGTGATTTTAATGTTATCTAACACAGACATCTGACAATGTAGACTCCTGGTTACCATACAGTGATTACAATGTTATCTAACACAGACATCTGACAATGTAGACTCCTGGTTACCATACAGTGATTACAATGTTATCTTGGGTGACATACTGGAATAAATAGGGCTGTGAGCAGTCACACAGATATAGAGAATACTCAAGCCTGACAGATGTCTGTGTTAGATAACATTAAAATCACTGTATGGTAACCAGGAGCCTACATTGTCAGATGTCTGTGTTAGATAACATTGTAATCACTGTATGGTAACCAGGAGCTTACATTGTCAGATGTCTGTGTTAGATAACATTAAAATCACTGTATGGTAACCAGGAGTCTACATTGTCAGATGTCTGTGTTAGACATCTGTCAGGCTTGAGTATTCTCTATATCTGCTCACAGCCCTATTTATTCCAGTATGTCATAATTATGAAAATTATACCTATCCAGGTAATATTACCTTTTAAGCTAAAACTAAGAAGCATCAGTTAATTTATGGTAAATAATTTAGGATTTTGATCACAGTATCTAGTTCTTGTAGTTAGTAATTCATGAGTTAATCTTCATTATGTCCTAGGTCAGTATCTTGTCAGTGTTTCACAGTTTAATAACAAAATTTTTCTTTAACATATAAATCATTTATCTTTTTCAATTCATCTGTTTCTAAAATGTTATTTATTTTATTTTTTGTAACATACCAACTGGACAGTGGCAGAGCTGGGGTTCCAAGATTCCTTTACAAATTAACCCTTTCTAGACTAGACAGCCGACACTTCTCACAATAGCAATACTTAACCAAACTGCATGAAAATTAGGACAAACTTACTAATATAATATCTTATTTTGGCTTAGAGAAATTCATATTAATTTAGTTTTTCTGTCATTTACTTTTATTGCGAGGCACTGTTTTAAAAAACATAAAACGTATTTTCATTTGAGAATTTAAATTTTTTGTTCTGTTGATCAGAAAGTTCTAACATATCTATTCAAACAGTTTTAACTTAAAAGGCATTCACTGACATTTTTTTTACACTTTAGTTTTGTTATCATTACTTTTGGTTATATGTCATAAAAACTGCAGAAACTGAGAAATATTTGCCAGTTAAAAATATATTTACAAACAATATTCTTGGTGGAGATCAATCGATATCTAATAAATATAGTTCCTTACAATAAATTATAAGTTCTTTTATTTATGTTTAAATATGATAAAGTTGACAGAAAATATTCCACTAATAAGAATTTGAGTCATCAAAATATATTGCTGTCACTTTCTAGACATTTACCTGAAGAGTTATCATGGGAAAAAACTTGCATAGCTTTTAAATAAAGATAATTAATATCGGGATCAAAATGAGTATCTAAAGAAACAAATTGTTAAACCTATTACTAAGTATTTCAAACTTTCTATTAGATTCCATTGTTATTCTTGGCAAGAGTCTCACTTTTCAATGAAACCTTAAATTACTTCTAACACCACTTTATTCATTATAGACTAACATAAATAGTTTGTTATCTAATGGTACTAGCTTGTAGCTGAGCTTCCATCCATAAAGGTCTGTAAAAATAAATCTTCAAATAAAGAAGGTAAATTCTGAGAGAAAAATGACATCACGAAAGATGATAGTGGACAGAAACAGTTTAAAACAAATCTATAAGAGTTTTAATTTGAGACCAGAAACAGAGCTGTGCAATAATGTAAGTCTCAACATTTTGATTTCAGACGAGGCTTTCAGAGCTGTGCAATAATGTAAGTCTCAACATGTGGATTTCAGACCAGGCTTTCAGAGCTGTGCAATAATGTAAGTCTTAACATTTGGATTTCAGACCAGGCTTTCAGAGCTGTCCAATAATGTAAGTCTGAATATTTGGATTTCAGACCAGGCTCTCAGAGCTGTGTAGAAACATAAGTCTGAACATTTTGATTTCAGACCAGGCTTTCAGAGCTGTGCAATAATGTAAGTCTCAACATTTGGATTTCAGACCAGGCTCTCAGAGCTGTGTAGAAACATAAGTCTGAACATTTTGATTTCAGACCAGGCTCTCAGAGCTGTGTAGAAACATAAGTCTGAACATTTTGATTTCAGACCAGGCTTCCAGAGCTGTGCAATAATGTAAGTCTGAACATTTGAATTTCAGACCAGGCTCTCAGAGCTGTGTAGAAACATCAGTCTGAACATTTTGATTTCAGGTCAGACACAGAGCTGTGTAGAAACGTCAGTCCGAACATTTTGATTTCAGATCAGACACAAAGCTGTGTAGAAACATCAGTCTGAATATTTCATTTCCATTTTTCTTTATGAAGTACACTCAACAAATATTACCAAGATTTAGGTTAGTCATAAATCCTAGTAATGTAAAATAACCTTCATAACTAAAAATTAACAATATCTTTGTGAATTACATGACAGAACTTTTAATAGAATTTTAAACTATCCTAAAAGAAACAGAAATACAAGAAGGTAACAAAAAAAGAAGTTAGATTGTTGAAGATAATTCACTGTAAAAAGATTTTATTTCTTTAAAGGTGACATTTTGAGTGAATGTTCTTTTTGAAACAAGCGCCTGTTAGTTAATAACACACTTTGACATGATGTTAAAAAAGGAACAAAACTGACTTATTAAACAATTTAATCAAAAAATTAAGTTTAGTCTTACTTCAGCAAAAATATATTTTTTTCATCATAATCAAACCATGTATTTCAAAACACACTTAAAATAATATCAATAAACAAATATCTATCATCAAATGACTTCAGTTTTTAAAACACAATTTAAAATAATATCAATAAATAAATATCTATCATCAACTGACGTCAGTTTTAAAACATGATTTAAAATAATATCAATAAAAAAATATCTATCTTCAAATGACGTCAGATTTAAAACATGATTTAAAATAATATCAATAAAAAATATCTATCATCAAATGACTTCAGTTTTTAAAACACAACTTAAAATAACATCAATAAACAAATATCTATCATCAACTGATGTCAGTTTTAAAACATGATTTAAAATAATATCAATAAACAAATATCTATCATCAAATGACTTCAGTTTTAAAATACAACTTAAAATAATATCAATAAACAAATATCTATCATCAAATGACTTCAGTTTTTAACACACAAGACTTACTCAGCAGAGCCTTGAAATAAATAGCCGTCAAGTTTCCTATTTCCTCCTCTTTCATATCAATTCTATGATACTCATATATTGTCTTTCTGCGAATAGCTACAAAAATCTCAAGATTAATCTTTTACAATCTTATCATGATCATAAATATACATAATTCAAAAGCAATTATTTAACACTTTCTTCCAAGCCTAAATCATCCACAGCTAATTAGAGTACTCTAGAGACTTTTACATCTACATTTCTTGTCACACTATACATGTTCATTATCAACACACCAATTTCAGCCAAACTAAAACTAATTAGTCATGATCTGAACGTGTGATGTGGTCCGTTTACATACACACATCCATACTAAAAGTAATTAGTCATGATCTGAATGTGTGATATGGTCCGTTTCAATACATACAAACATACTAAAAGTAATTAGTCATGATCTGAACATGTGATGTGGTCTGTTTACATACACACATCCATACTAAAAGTAATTAGTCATGATCTGAACGTGTGATGTGGTCCGTTTACATACACACATCCATACTAAAAGTAATTAGTCATGATCTGAACGTGTGATGTGGTCCGTTTACATACACACATCCATACTAAAAGTAATTAGTCATGATCTGTACGTGTGATATGGTCCGTTTACATATACACACATCCATATTAAAAGTAATTAGTCATGATCTGAATGTGTGATATGGTTTGTTTCAATACATACACACATCCATACTAAAAGTAATTAGTCATGATCTGAACATGTGATGTGGTCCGTTTCAATACATACAAACATACGAAAAGTAATTAGTCATGATCTGAACATGTGATGTGGTCTGTGTATATAAAAGTAATAAATTCATAATGTGTGTGAAATGGTCCATGAATTACATACATCCATGCTTAAAGTTCTCACTATCACTACAAACTGGATATATTAACAAGCCAGGATATAATAAATAAACTTAGAATTCCAAAAATTGTTTAATTTGAAGGTCTGAGTTCAAGGGAGGTCCAGTTCAATCTGCGCTTTGTGTGTTATTGTGTTATACTAGTTTCAGAGAATTCCACTCCTCATCAGTAACCCTGAACACAAGTTAACCAAAGACAGATAAGCTGGACCTATATCATAATGAAAAGTATCAAACATATTGTTGGTGTGAATGTGTTTTGTAGCCACTATAATAAAAACATATAGGCTGAATAAATGAAGAAAAAAGTGTCATTGGTCAACACACTTTGATCAAAGTGTAAATTGAACTGGACCTTCCTTGAACTCAGACCTCAAAATTGAACAATTTTCAGAATACTAAGTCTAAATATCATAGCTGTGGCTACACAGTGTGAAGAACTGAATAGTGGTCAATGACAATAGTGGTCAATATCATAGCTGTGGCTACATAGTAAGAAAAACTGAATAGTGGTCAATGACAATAGTGGTCAATATCATAGCTGTGGCTACATAGTGTGAAGAACTGAATAGTGGTCAATATCATAGCTGTGGCTACATAGTGTGAAGAACTGAATAGTGGTCAAAGACACTTTTTCTTCACTTCATCTATTCAGTGTACAGGATTTTCTCATAGTGACTACAAAGCACGTTCACACCAACAGTATGTTTGAAGCCAGGATATAAAAGAAACAACATCTGGTCTAACTGAGGGTGGTCCTACACCATATTATAAGTGCTAACTATCACCACAAACTGGACACTTTAATAAGTCTGGGTATAATAAAAACAACATTTGGTCTGACTGAGGGTGGTCTTACACCATATTATAAGTGCTAACTATCACCACAAACTGGACACTTTAATAAGTCTGGGTATAATAAAAACAACATTTGGTCTGACTGAGGGTGGTCCTACATGATATTATAAGTGCTAACTTTCACCAGAAACTGGACACTTTAGTAAGTCTGGGTATAATAAAAACAACATTTGGTCTGACTGAGAGTGGTCCTACTCCATATTATATGTGCTAACTATCACCAGAAACTGGACACTTTAGTAAGTCTGGGTATAATAAAAACAACATTTGGTCTGACTGAGAGTCATCCTACTCCATATTATAAGTGCTAAGTATCACCAGAAACTGGACACTTTAGTAAGTCTGGGTATAATAAAAACAACATTTGATGTTACCGAGAGTGCTGTTATTTTCATAGGTGAAACTTACATAAAGAAGCAAGCACTTTGCCACTACTTAATCCTTATAGATTCAATTAAAACTTAAGCCTAACATGAAAAGCTACATAGTGTATAAATCAAACATTTCATTCTTAAATTTTACAGAAAGGGTGATTACAGTGATTTTTCCCCCACACATTAAGACATCTAATGGTTATTACTTACCAAAAGTTTCAGATTCAAGTATGTAGGCATCAGACAATCCTATTTTGACAGGATGCTCAAGATCTTTAATTTCTGTTACTGGAATCGGCACCTGCATTTGAAATGTTACTAATTTACGGTTAGTTATCCTTCTACAAGATTATTATGTCCGCCACATTATTAAATGTCAGTGGGATTGGGTCTTGGTGGTCAAGATTTACCCCTGAACACACTTATAACAGTGTACATTGTATCCATAAACATACTTGTAACAGTGCACCCCTGACCACAAGGCTATAATTATTTGGAAAGTTTGTCTTCATCACCCCTGACTACACCCAACTTTTACTCTCCCAAGGAACTGTTGTATTCTCAACTAAATAGCTCCTCCTTAATAGGTTTTGGCTATATCCTTTTTCAAATCTGAGGCCATTCAAAGTTGAACAAACAGAAGGTAAACAAACATTAACATCATGCTAACTGAAAATTCTGAAATTTTATTGGAAGCAATAAATATATATTAGAAGTAAATGTGTTGTTTTATTAATATAGAAGTCCAATGTTTACATTAAAACATCTAGAAATCAAAGTTTATAATTTTTATTTATTAAATAATATGTTTGTTCCATTTACTATGGTTTTTCACTACAAGTTTTATGTTACTAAAATATCAATTTTATAACATATATCAGTAAAAAATGGCTCAAACAGAAATAAACTGAATAACCTAAAAAAACAGCAGTCTCTAAATATTTACCAGACACAGACATCTAACAAACATGTAGACATGTTTTCTATCTGTTTTTAGTCATACAGGAATTTTTAAAACTTTTCAATTACAGATTGTCCAAGAAGTCACTGAGGTTGCCTTCTTCTAGTTGCTTTGTTTGTTTGTTCTTTATAGTAGGTAATGTATATTTTGCAGTAACACACAGCATCCATGTTGAGAGGCTCACAAACTGCATATCCTTCATTGGCTGAATTAATAATAAATGTGTGTAACAGCCAACCAAAGCCATAAGGAGATGACACTGTCAATTACTTAAAGAAACTAAGTTTACCTATAGAATTGAAAAGCACTTTCTTGGTTCACTCCTACTTGGAGACTGTCAAGTAAAGACACAACTAAGAGACTGTCAAGTTAAGATGTTACTTGGAGATTGTCAAGTAAAGATACTACTACGAGATTGTCAAGTAAAGACGTTACTTGGAGATTGTCAAGTAAAGATGTTACTTGGAGATTGTCAAGTAAAGACGTTACTTGGAGATTGTCAAGTAAAGACATTATTTGGAGATTGTCAAGTTAAGACGTTACTTGGAGATTGTCAAGTAAAGACAGTATTTGGAGATTGTCAAGTTAAGACGTTACTTGGAGATTGTCAAGTAAAGACAGTATTTGGAGATTGTCAAGTTAAGACGTTACTTGGAGATTGTCAAGTAAAGACATTACTTGG